AAGCATTTCATTACAGCTTTAACATATTCAGTAACACACTCCAGAGCAAGGATACATCTCTTTCAAAAGTAGCTGTAAATTTTTAGGTTCACAGATGAACTAATACAGTTATACAATATTGAACTTAGTATAAACCCTGTAAGATATAAAATTGAATGAGTTTTTAAAACACTTTAAAAGATGATCTCGATTTCATTTTAAAATATGCTGTTTCCTACATTTTTAGTACTACTAACACTTGGATGTTTGTACATGTGTCTTTATGTATCTGATGATTACTAATCACAGTCGGTTACACTCGGATCCTTAGTACCTGAGTATGGATATAAAGTCATCAGGTAGATTTCACTGGTTATGTTTATCACCTCTACTATTTAACATGAAGTAAATTTTTATGCTTCCTCCACAAATATAAGTCTTTTTTTAAAAATTTGTTGATTTTTCTGTGTATATATCATACAGAACATCCCACACAATCTTATTCATCTATACACCCACTTCCCAAATGGCACCCTCCCCTAGCCTCTCTGCTCCCACATACTGGAGCCCATATACTCTGTCATCTCTGTTACTGTGCACTGTGTTGTTGACACCCCCAGCCATTCTCCAGTGCTTGTTCGTCTGCTGAATGTACTGAGCCTATCTAGAGATCCTTGTTTTAGGAACATCAATTGTTCCTCATCTAGCAACAATCAGTTGTCAATATTCCTTTAGATAAGATTGGGGTCTGCTGTTTATTTTCCCAGTTCTGTGCTGGGTTACTGTCTGGGAGTCTCTTGCGCCACCTTGGTCAATAACTCAAAGGTATTTCCTGTCTGGCATTGTTTCTTGTTAGCTATACAAATGGACTCTTAAAAATTATATTGACCCCCATTAATCTTTGGTTATACTTTCCTTTTGGGTATTTAAGACCCTATAGTTGGCCCAGATAAAACAATTTATTTTTACTCTTAAGGTCATTTGAGGATCTGTTCCTCGGGGTCACATGAGCTTGGGAGGAGCCCCTGGCTCCTTTTACCAGTTCTGCCTATGTGAAGATAAGTCAAAGGTCCTACTCGACCATGGCTGGCTTTGCTTGGAAGCATGAAGGAAATGTTTCCTCTGTGTTGACCCTCCTCTTTGTGGACTGGACTCTGGTTTAGGTCCATCTGGTGGGGTCTCCACAGCTTCCTTGCTCGAGAGGACAGGTGACTCACCACAGTTACAGGACATTTCCATAGTCCCCTGGAACTTAGTCGACCTAGGAGGTTCAAGGAGCAAAAACTGTCCTTTATGCCCCCCTGACCAAATTAGTATAGGCCTCAAAGTATGGCTGTTAAACATCCAAGAAGGTTAGTTCCACCAGTCTGGTATTTTAATTGCCATATGGCATATAGATAGAGCTTGGGCAAAGACCAAACGCTCTCAGATAAACCTTGCCTAGGCATATATTACATTCTTTGATCTGGTTGTATGTATAATTTGTCAGTAGGTTGTTGGCCTAATATGGTTCCCTCTGGTTTTTTAAAAAACTAGCTAGGCATTGTTTATCACATTGTCTAACCCTTCCACCATGGTTTTCCCATTTAAGGTGCCCCCGTTTTTTCCATTTCTCCTTAACAATACCCTTCTGTGGTCCCACCTCTCTTGAGCTCCTTCTTTCCCTTTATCCCCTAGGTTCCTTGTAACCTTCTCTCCCCCCTCCCTTAAAATAAACCCATTATTATCCATATCTCCCTTGTTAACACCTCTTTTCTACTGTTCCTCTCTTTCAGATTCTTTCTTTTCCTTTATTTCCCTGGTTCCTCTTCATTATCCTGGTTCCTGTAGTTATGTCTGGATATATATCCACTTATAAGGATTTGGTGCTAGGATCCACATATGAGGGAGAACCTACGCCATTTGGTTTTTTTTTTTCCCTTAAAATAAACCCATTATTATCCATATCTCCCTTGTTAACACCTCTTTTCTACTGTTCCTCTCTTTCAGATTCTTTCTTTTCCTTTATTTCCCTGGTTCCTCTTCATTATCCTGGTTCCTGTAGTTATGTCTGGATATATATCCACTTATCAGCATTTGGTTCTAGGATCCACATATGAGGGAGAACGTGTCGATTTTTTTTTCTGAGTCTGTGTTACTTCACTTAGTATAAAAGTTTCTAATTACATCCATTTACCTGCAAATTTCATGATGTTATCTTTCTTTACTGCTAAGTAAAAGATCG